ATGCAGGTGGCCTGCCCTGCCCACCAAACTGACACTCTCCCAGCACTTCCCTGCAGTGCACCAGGCGTGGAGTGTCTTTCCACCCCAGCACACTGAACGCCCTTGGCCCCACCTGCTACCTGCTGTTGTGACAACACAAAGGCACCTCCTCTCCACACTCTGAGTGCCTCACCCTCCAGAGAACCAGTCTGGCTCTGCTGGCATGCCCTGCTCCACCCCAGCATTCTGTCACTGACACTCCTGCCATAACCCTCTCCTTAGCTTCTGGGCCTTCCCACCTTCTCCTTGTTCCACTGGTCTTTGTTTCCCTGTACCTGTCCCTCACTACAGGTACCACTGGTCTTAGGTCCCCTCCCTGGCCCACCATCAAGGACTTTGCCAGGGTACCGACAGACTCATCCATCATCCCTTCACTGCCACTCTCCCATAATCTCTGCTATACTCCCAGGATCTCTGTCTCCATCTATGTCAGGGGTCAACAAACTATGTTCTAAGAGTTGTATCCAGTGTCCCATCTGCCTTTTTTTTTGTTTTTAAAGAAGAGTTTCACTATGTTGCCCTTGGCAGAGTGCCATGGTGTCACAGTTCACAGCAACCTCAAACTCTTGTGCTTAAGGGATTCTCCTGCCTCAGGCCCCCAAGTAGTTGTGGGGGACTAGGCACCCGCCACAATGCCCAGCTATTTTCTGTTGTTGTTGTTGTAGCTGTCATTATTGTTTAGTAAGCCCAGGCTGGGTTTGAACCCCCCAGCCCCAGTGTATGTGGCCAGTGCCCTAACCACTGAGATATCTATGGGCACCAAGCTTAGTTTTTCTATTTTTAGTGAAGATAAGGTCTCACTCTTGCTCAAACTCCTGAGCTGAAGGAATCGTCCTGCCTCAGCCTCCCACAGTGCTAAGATTACAGCATGAGACATCATACTCAACCGCCACTTGCTTTTTTTGGAGACAGAGTCTCACTTTGTCGCCCTCGGTAGAATGTCATGGCATCACAGCTCATAGCAACCTCTAGTTCTTGGGCTAGAACAATTCTCTTGCCTCAGCCTCCCGAGTTGCTGGGACTACAGGTGCCCACCGCAACGCCCAGCTAATTTTGCTGCAAATGCCACTCCTATTTTAGCTGGCCAGGGCTGGGTTCGAACCCATCACCCTCAGTATATGGGGCCAGCGCCCTACCCACTGAGCCACAGGCACTGCCCACTACTTGCTTTTTATTTTTATTTGTTTTTTTTCAGACAGAGTCTCACTTTGTTGCCCCCAGTAGGGTGCCCTGGCATCACAGCTCACAGTAACCTCAAACTTGTGGACTTGAGTGATCCTCTGGCCTCAGCTTCCCAAGTAGCTTGGACTGTAAGCACCTGCTACAAAGCCAGGCTAGTTTTTCTGTTTATAGTAGAGATAGGGTCTCATTATTGCTCAGACTGGTCTCGAACTCCTGAGCTCAAGGGATCCTGCTGCCTTGGCCTCCTAAGAAGCTATGATCATAGGCGTGAGCCAACACACCCCCAGCCTCAACCACCTGTTTTTTAACTAAAATTTTATGAGCCAGACATGGTGGCTCACACCTGTAAATCCTAGCACTCTGGGAGGCCAAGGCTGTGGATCTCCTGAGCTCACAAGTTCGAGACCAGCCTGAGCTAGAGCGAGAACTCATCTCTAAAAATAGCCAGGCATTGGGCAGCACCTGTGGCTCAAAGGAGTAGGACACCAGCCCCATATACCGGAGGTAGCAGGTTCAAACCCAGCCCTGGCCAAAAACTGCAAAAAAA